TAATTTTATGAGAAACTAGATTAATGGTTAAGTAGGTTCATATTGAATTAATGATTTCTTTGTAATAGATATGGAAAGAGATTTAATATAACATATTCTCACTGAATAGTTGAGTAAATGTTGTTCTACCTATCCAATCACTTTTAAATCTCTAGATTTTCATAGGAGCTATATGATATTTTGGACATAATAGCTGTTCAATTAATATTTGGAGAATAAAAGCTTTCATGAGTCTATTATATTTACTTAGGACTTCACCATATGTACACAAAAATCTTAAATTACTTGATTTTAAAGTAGCATGGTTCAATTTTGGAATTAGAACTACACGTGCATGAGGGCAGGGAGCTGCTGGATATAGATATGTCATCATCAGCAACAGATTACAATTAACATCCTGTTCACAAGGAAAGTAGCAGAAAGAATATATATGGTAGAACAAGAATCAAAGATTTAGTGGTCTGGGATCATTTAGTATATGAACAATAGTCCCCAAGGGCATCACTGCAGAAACAGGGCTGTGATATAAATGATAGTTGTAATGATGACCATGAATCATCAGTAAAAATGTGAACGGTCTACATTATTTCCCATTTAATAAAGCTGGATATTAATCTCTTTGTCTTTTTTTTTTAAGTTTAAGAATTAAAGACTTTTAAAAAATGCTAGGGATTAAAGGAACAATTTTTAATTATACACAAAGCTTGCTTATACAGAACATCTTCTATAAAGCCACATATATGGGCCGGCCCGTGGCTCACTCGGGAGAGTGCGGTGCTGATAGCACCAAGGCCCTGGGTTCGGATCCCACATAGGGATGGCCGGTTCGCTCACTGGCTGAGCGTGGTGCTGACAACACCAAGTCAAGGGTTGAGATCCCCTTACCAGTCATCTTTTAAAATAAATAAATAAATAAATAAATAAATAAAGCCACATATATGAAATACTATCACAATAATTTTGCCATTCACCCAATTCAACAAAGTAGTGACTTTATACTGTAGTGAAAAGAAGAAATGATGTAAAAACATTCTTCAATGACTAAGTTATGGCTTTACCATAGCAAGTAAAGAGACAATCTGGTAGTACAGGAATCTCTTCCAGGATGAAGATTCCACCAGTCTTGAAAAAAAAAAAAAAAATCCCTCTGTGTCAACAGAAAGATTCTGCCCTTACATACTCCAAATGGCTTTTTCCTAGAAAACAGATGCCCAGCAGACATGGAGGAGTTGCAGAAGAGAAAATGTTAAATGAGACTGAGTGCCAATAGACTTGTTATCACCCATTGGTTCTTAGTTATCTTCCGTCTTCCAAGTCAGCTCGATAGAGTGCTCCTTACGCAGAACAGGGGAACTTAAAATACCACAAATGTAATAAGTACACACAAATACACATCCACACACACACACTCCCCAATGTCATGCTACTATAACTGCTTTCAGGGCCCAAGGTTCATGGTAGTCATAAACAAAGAGCTTTATGTAACAGAATATTAGTTTTCTATTGTTACCTAATAGATCACCACGAAGTTAATTGTGTAAAATAATACAAATGTATTATCTCCAGGGAGTAGATCAGGAATCCAGATAAATTCAGCTAGGTTCACTGCTGTGTAGAGGCTCTCAGAAAAAATCCACTTCCAAACTCACTCAGGTTGTTGGCAGAATTCATTTCCTTGTGGCTATAGAATTGAGGTCCCTGTTTCCTCACTGGCTGTCAACATATGTCCCTCTCTTCTCATAGAGTCCACCTGCATTCCATTTCATGTGGCCCCTTCCATCTCAAAGGCAGTGGCACATCAAATTCTTCTCACATTTTGAATCTCTCTGCCTTCCTCTCTTTCTNGTTTCCTCACTGGCTGTCAACATATGTCCCTCTCTTCTCATAGAGTCCACCTGCATTCCATTTCATGTGGCCCCTTCCATCTCAAAGGCAGTGGCACATCAAATTCTTCTCACATTTTGAATCTCTCTGCCTTCCTCTCTTTCTTTCTCTTCCACAGCAGGAGAAAGCTCTCCTCTTTTAGGGGCTCTTGTGTTTGGGCCCACTTTGGCAATATAAAATATTTTCCCTATCTTAAGGTCAACTGTGCTACATAACATAGTGTAATCATAACAGCGTTATCTATATTCATAGGTTCCCCCTGGAGTGAGGCACACCTTTGTAAGGCCATTTTAGAAATTCTGCCAACCACAGATACCTTTGGCATTTCAATAGCAAGGTTCTCTTAGAGATACATATGTATCTAATTTTACTATATGACAAAGAATATTATATAGAGATTTTTTCTAGTATGGGAATAAATGAGACAAGAGAGAAGGAAAAAGAAGAGAAGGACATTCAAGAGAGCAAAAGTCAAGTTTCTACTGAAAGGAAAGCAAGCAATATGGAATACGTTCTGCCAGGATTCCAGATAAAAGACAGTGTACAGAAATAAGACACTGGTGGGGAACCCCAGTTTCAAAATGGCAAAATGAACACATGTTTATCTCTGTATTTTTTAAGTTGGAAAACTGGTTCATGAAACTGACTTAGCCAAGCAGAGTAAGCTCAAATCCTGATGCTTCTAGAGGAGGATAAAGACCAGAAGAGGCCTATTCAGTATATACTATTTACTTAGAAAGCAGATGGCAACTCCACTTTTCGCCACAAAGCAGAAGTTGGTGGCTTCTTGCAAGTAGGTACTACTCTCCTAGCAAAGTAAGGGTCCAATATGGCCTCAATCTGTTGAAATGCATACAACCCTATTAAACTAACAGGAGTGAACCTCTGGAGAATATCCTCAGTACTTTTCACTGAAAGGACTGTGACCGTAGACTCATTTCTGTTGTCTCGAGGTCAATTCATCAGCTTTCCAATGGCTCTCCCATGAGTTCAGCGGAAGTCCCAACTGACACTGATCAAAGCTGAAAGAAACAGGGATCACCTGGAGGTATGCATAGGGCTTCAGCATTGTTTACCATACTCTGCAACTCTTAGGAACATGGGAAAGCTTGCTAATTCTCGTTCAATTCCATAGGACATAGCATTTCTCATTCTGCAGAGGTTTGTTCAGATACATGAGGGGTCTTCAAAAAGTTTATGGAAGCACTGTATTATCTTTTAATTCAATTTTTCCATGTATTTTTTAAGAACGCTTGTACTTAAGAAGCAGCCTTTTCTTACTGTCAGAAGATGTGTGTATGCCTACACCTGTGGCAGATTCAATCTCTGTTGTTTTTTCTCAGATGTACTTCTATTGCTTCTACAAATTGACTTTGCTCTCCTTCTAAATATATAAATCTGTCATTTTTTAATGATGACCTACTAGGAAAGTTCATTA